GATGCCCGCAGGCCTGACACTCAGACTTGCGAACTGATATGTACGTTCCCTGTAGAGATGCATTCTAAAAGCACATAGCAAGTAAAGAGAGCCAAAACACCCCTATGGAGGGGTAGGGTTTCCCTGTCCTACTTTGTCAGGAGTTAGGGTTTCACTATGCACGCAGCAGTTTTCAAACAACCTAACATCGGATAAGCAACATGTCCTAGTTTGGAATGGTCACTATGGATTTCGATATGCACTAGGTCGAATGGTCGAAAAGGGTGCCCCGGTAAAACCGGGGTATGTGTTCCCATACTGTCAGAGCCCACAACCGGTCAGCCTTATGGCATGCTTTGACAAAGTCAAGCCTCTGACAAACCGTTCAGGAATGGCAGATGGAAAACACGGTGTCCTAGGCGCACCAATGCACATGCAATGCAAAGAGACACATAAATGAAATCAAAACAGGATATCACGAGTTCGAGTCAAGCTCTCTAAGTCCCCAGCAGAGTCGCCAGAAACAGTTGATGTCCCCGAACGCCCCAGGAGGATGAGTCCTGTTCTGTTCATTTTTTTTTTGCGGGTCTACTACAGTTCAGGACTCTCAGATAGTCACGGTTCTTAATCTGAACAAAAGAGTCCAAATCTAGCAAATCGTTTTAAGAAAACAGATTTTTAGAAAAGAAGTGCCAAACATGGACTGCTTTGCCAGATACAGAGTCGCCACCTAAATATTTTATTTTGGGAGGAATTTAGGAAACCCTAACTCATTGCCTAAGGCCACATGTCCGTCATCACCAAAGTTGCCTTGGCTCGGGAACTTGGGTACGATTGGGGAAGGTCAGCTATGAGCACCCCCTCTCGCCCGATCCGAAGATCGGCCTCTACTAACCATGATATCCGTTTTTGAAAACGTTATGTGTTCTTATTCTGGTTATTAGCCTAGAATTACTATGTTATGCGCGCAGCAAACAAGTATAGACCAAATTGCCTAAATTGGAACAAAACATAGCATGTTTGTTTTGAAAATGGTTTGCTACTCGCAAGTAGGCTGAAATGCAGATTTTGCCACCCTCAAGTGGGCTTTAGAAAAGATGGTTTTGCCACTATCTAGTGGGCTTAAAACTCACAGTTTTAATGCATTATTCCAATTTAGGTAATTCGACCTCCACCCACAGGCATTCAAGCAGTTATATCACATAAGCAACTAGCCTCATGGTAATCATGCTGTCATGGCAACACTCACACGCATGCGGTATGCTAAAGCATAAATGCTTACCGAGTACTCCAAGCCAAAACAGAAACTCGTTAGTAATCATATGTATGATCCTAGTTTAAGATGGCTAATGCAACACATGCGAAACGCAACTAGAAATGGGCTCGGCTATTCTAAACATGGCATGTGAAATGCTACAACTAACACGTATTCAATTTGGAATTGAAACACAATGCAGTTATCATGATGTGCCGAGCATGGTGCATGCAAGACAAATGTATGAATGCACGCATGCATAGCATAAGGTATGCTAATTTAAATATGCCCTAGTCTACCGTCATAAGCGAGTAAATAAAAGGGAGGAAAGACGTGGGGTTGGAAGACATACACACACTCACGCACACTTATTACACAATTGCCCTCGCTCGGAGGGTCCAAATAAATATTACAGTCCGAATAAATAATACTAAGTTAATTATTACAGAATTTCCAATTAATTAACAAATTAAATTCAGGAAGAAGGTGGCCACAGCCCCGTCTCGAGATGCGTGAATGATGCATGCTTGACTCGTCTTGCCCGAAAATCCGTACCATGCCACTATTGCCTCTGTTTACACTGCCTTTCCCCTCTGAGGATCACATAAATTTTTAGAACTGCTTTGAATCACTCCCTGAGTGCTCTGGAGTGTCACCGGCTAGAACAAAATGCCACCGGCCATGGAAATGGGATTATCGGCCAAATATTATGCTCTCGACCAGACATGTTTTGCCGGTCGGCACACAAAACTGCCGGCCGGCCAATTCTTCCTGCTGAAACCTGCAGTTGACAGCAGCAGAGGGCAAGTAGTGTATGGCATGGAATTTTCAAACAAATGTATGCATGGCCACACCCCCTGTCATGCAATGGACTCAAGGGAGCATGGCCTTTGACCCTCGGGCCACCAATTGCGCATTTCAATGCATGATGGCCGAAGAGTCAAGTATGCATTTCAATGTCAAATGCAATATACACAAAACATACAAGGGATCTAACCTCAATCATGGTTGATCAAGAGGCGAGGCAATGCACAACGATGAACATGCGACCTAAGCATGCAAGCAAACATACAAACATGCAATGCAACTATATAGCACACACAATGCTAACAACATAACATGCACAATGCATTGAAACATGGCATACACAATGCAGGATGGACTTACACTAACATGAATGGACCTCAGCCACACTCACATCAGTAGCCATTAGGTGAAAATGAGACTCTCGAAATGCGTGCACGCATGAACGCAAACCGAGGACTGAACCTAAAGCATAACATGTAACTCTAACAAGACATGGCAAGGGGTGCAAGACAGCATGCAAACTCAAAAATTCCAGCACTGAAATATGATGCTAAACAGCCCCGAAACATGGAAAAATGGCATCCGATGCATGAGATGAACCCCGAAACTCGAAACTAGGCACATGGAATGACTTATAGCTATACAAAGCATGCATTATTTGATCATGAAGTACAAAGATAGGGTCAAGGCAGTCCAAAAACATGAACACTTCCAGTTCAAAGCATGGCCAAAAGATGCTAGCATGGTGGACAAAATAGCATGCAATCTTGCCTAGCAATCATGGTTTACATGGCAAGTATATGAAGCAAATGTAATCTCACCAAACCAGAAAAAATCAGTGAATAAATCATGTGAAAATAGGTCCAAATAACCACTGATATGCAACCATGGTATGCAAAAATAATGAGTTACTTTGGAGGGCCATGCAAGGAGTTATTAAGCACATGGAAGGTAGATACTTAGCATGGCATAAACAACTATGAAAATCAAATATGGTAGTCCTAAAACTCACCAAATTGACCCTGGAAAGTGACTACGAAGCATGCAAGGTAGGATCTCTTTCGAAGGCCAAAAAGGCCACCAAACAAGAGAATGAGAGAGGGGGTCACCCCCCTCTAATCTTGGCTCTCAAAATAGTGTTCCAGCCACTGAAAATCCACTGGATTTCAGTGGCTAGAAGGCCAAACAAAGCATGCAATTGGGGCTTAGGTGTAAGGCTCAAAACAAGGGACAATCAAGCATACAAGGAAGCATCTGGCCTCAAATAAAATAATGCCCTTAATAAAACATGAAGATGATGTCAAAACAAGCCTTTTTTAGTTTATAACAAGTCTAAAAAATGAACATAAATAGGGCTAATCTATCATGCGAAAATGGCCCTAAAAGAGAGAATAGAGACAAGGGATAGCAGCTGGCCTCAAACAGTGAAGAGCCCTTCAACAAAGTTGAAGAGGGGCTCAAAACAAGACATTTCACAGTTTATGACCAAGTCCAAAATAGCTCACAAATAAGCCTAAAATATCATGCAAAAATAGGCCTAAAAGAGAGTTTAAACACAATGGGAGAGGGGGACAGTAAGAGGTCCTTGATCAAACATGAAAAGGAGCTCAAAATATGACTATTTACAGTTCATGTCGGAGACAAAAATGTAAGAAACAAAGGCTAAGATTGCATGCAAAATAGAGCAAAAAGAGAGAGAAGTGAGGCTCACCCTTGTAGTCCAAACTTCCAGCAGCTTTTGGTCCAAGAAATGGTGTTCCCAAGCTCTAAAAAATAGCCTCAAGTTGCTGGAATGGAGTATGGAGGTTGTAGGCTATGAGTGGTAGTGTAAAGGGGGGCAAGAACCTTAGGGTTTAAAGGGTTTGGCAGAGAGAAATAGGGAGAGAGTTGAAAATTTTTAGAGAGAGAGGAAATGTTTTTCTTCTTTCAAGTTGTATCCCTCTTCTCCTTCCTTGTGTTATGTTTTGAGAGAGTTGATTGATATAGATATATCAATCTGCAGCTCCTCAGAACTCCCACGTCCAGGCATGGGCTAGGGTATGGCCTAGAATGACAGCTGCCAGTTGTCTACAGAAATATCTGTTGAAAACCACACTTGGCCGGCCGGTTGGCCATCAAAGTGGTCAACCGGCAGTCAAATTGGCCGGCCGGCCATCACATTTGGCCGATGGCAACAAAACATAGCCGGTGGCCTCAAGCCATGGCCGGTGGAATGTGGGGATGTCCCAAAAGCCATTCTCTGCCCTCCAAAGCAAAAACACAAGTGTTTGGTGCAAAACTAGACACAAAACGGTCGAGTCGAGAGATTCTGAGGCAAGGCGCGCAACCGAGGCCTCCGGGAACTCATGACGAACACAAACAAGGATGATCACCGAGTGTTCAAACGGTGACGTCCAAGTCTTGAGGACGGTCAAAAATAGGGTGTCTACACCAGCTAATGTATGAACTCCGAAAGCCGAATATCTATAATTCATGGAGTGGCTGCGTCACAAATCGATCAGCATCGAGCTTAGATATTTGGCCGATCAAATTAATTAATCTGCCCTTGCCCCAGCCAATGTATGAACTCCGAAAGCCAAATATCATTATTTCATGGAGTGGCTGCAGCGCAGATCGATCGGCATCGAGCTTAGATACTTGGCCGGTCAGATTAATAAATCTGCCCTTGCCCCAGCCAATGTATGTACTCCAAACGCCGAATATCATTATTTCATGGCGTGGCTGCGGCGAATGCCGATCGGCATCGGGCTTTTGGAGTAGCATTAATGAAATCGCCTCGGGGGCACTGCATGCACTAGGAATAAATGGAGTGGGTTCATCGCGCCCGTAATTCCACTTATTGTGTTCTGACTTAATTTAAACCAGTTTGTTGCGGAAGGTTAGCTAAGAGTGAATGTCAAATAAATTGTTCTTCAACAGTAAACGATAGGGTAGGACGCTAGCTGAGCTGGATTCAGCAATGAATCGCGGTGGTGAGCCTCCCTGTACGGAAGGTAGGGCATTTGCACAACATGAAAGGCGCCACTCTCCACATCGACGGAGCAGGTCACCATGGAAGGATAAGTGCCAACGGGGGAGCTCTCCTCGTTCGCGAGGTGAGGCCAGTGGGCCACCATGCCCATTGAGCTTTTCAGTTTTCATCGGGAACAAACCAATGACAGAGGCAGATTCCATCATCCGCGATCTGAACATGGCAGTCGAATTTGTAGGACAGATTTTTCCGCCAGAAGTCCAGCAGTCGATGGTTGGTTGACCTGACTTCAAGGTGTTTTGAGAGGGCGTTCATGGGGCAGTGAAAGGGCTGTACACCGCCTATGAAATCGGCATGCGCCTTTGTGTCGCGCGACGTGAAATAGAGAAGAAGGATGAATGCATTTGACACTTGAAAGCTCACGCAGAAGTGACTGAACGCGGGCTGAGGAAGGTCAAAGCCGCTCAGACAGAACCAGGCGAACAAGCTAACCCAATTAGGGAAGAAAGGGTGACCCAATGGCATATCAGTCATGCAATTGCCGATCGTGATACGGTGAGCATGTTTATGGTAGAGGCCGCGAAGGGAAGGGCTTATGAAAAAGGCTTTCATGAAGGCCAGAAAGTCGGGATAGAGAAGACCAAGGAAAAGCTCGCCGAGGAAGTTTGCCGATGTGAAAATAGTGGATTTAAGCACGGTTGGATCAAGGCACTTCAGGCTGTGGAGGCTCTCCGAGCAGCAGGCGTTGATTTAGCATCGCCGCTATACCAATGTGATCATTTCCCCTTTTCCGCCTTCAAAGTCGAGAAGAGTGATGATGAGGGAGACGCCGGATAAAAGTAGACATTGTAATGCTCAAACGCAAATTGAGTACAAAATTATGTAATTATTGGCTAATTTAATAAAACGCTTCATTTTCAAGTGTTAGCGTACTTTCTACTTATATTAATACACCTCATGCCAATCGATTAATCTAAGGACACATTTCATTTTTTAATGTTTGCATGTTTCAACTTACGTTTATACGGCTTGTCCTAGTACAATTGAATGAAACATTTCATTTTTGAAAGCTCGCATGCTTCGATTTTCGATGTATTGTGATAGCCACGCAAGGCACTCCAAATCCGAGGTCTTTATTCGGCCCAAGCGTGTCCCATATAGATGGGGCTTCGAATTCAAAGGCTTGCTGTCGGCCAATCGTGATACCGGCGAAGGGTGCTCCGAATCCGGAGTCTTATTCGACCCAACCGTGTCATAAACGATGGGGCTCCAGATTCGAAGGCTTTTTGTCTTGGCCAAGCGTGACACACGATGGGTGCTTCTGAATCTAGAGTCTTTATTAAGCCCAAACGTGACTTGCACGGATGGGGCTCCGAATTCGGAGACTTAAATCTTGGCCAATCGTGATACACGAAGGGCGCTCCGAATCTGGAGGCTTAATCGGCCCAAAAGTGTCATGCACCAATGGGGCTCTAAATTCGGAGGCTTTCTTATCTTGGCCAATCGTGATATCCATGAAGGGCGCTCCAAATTCGGAGTCTTTATTCGCCCCAAACGTGTCTTGTACGGATGAGGCTCTGAATTCAGAGACTTAAATCTTGGCCAATTGTGATACACGAAGGGTGCTTCGAATTCAGAGGCTTAATCGACCCAAAAGTGTCATGCACCAATGGGGCTCCGAATCCGGAGACTTATCTTGGCCAATCGTGATGCACGAAGGGCGCTCCGAATCCGGAGGATTTATTTGGCCCAAACGTGACCTGCGCGGATGGGGCTCAGAATTCGGAGACTTAATCTTGGCCAATCGTGATACACGAAGGGCGCTCCGAATCCGGAGGCTTAAACCGGAAGACTTTTGAACTGAATTTGGTAATGAGAAAACAAGGAACTTTGCATTGCAACAGTGAAGTATGTTCACGGTGAACCATTCAAAACAAGTATCATGCCCCACTGGTCGGGTTTAATGATAGAATTTACGCAAGTGCGTTGAATTCCAAGGCCGTGGCAGACTTCTCCCAGACATGTATTTGAGCCGATATGCCCCTACTCCCGCTATTGATTCGATCTGATAGGGGCCGTTCCAGTTAGGCCCAATTTTCCCTCAGCCAAGTTCCTGGCAGCTGGAAGCACTTTCTTCAGGACCAACTCTCCTAGTGTATAGCGGCACAGCTGAACACGTTGATTATATGACTTAGCAAGCTGCTGCTGGTATCGTGCCATGGATGCTAGGGCATGGTCTCTTCGTTCTTCAATCAGAATCAAATCCAAGACCAGCATCATGTCGTTTCGGCCCATATCAAAAACTTTTGATTTCAAAGTTGGGATGCCGATCTCTAAGGGAATGATTGCCAGCGTTCCGAAGCACAAAGCGAATGGCGTTTCCCCAGTGGACTGACTCGGAGTAGTGTGATGAGCCTATAACACACTCGGCAATTCTTCGACCCATCTTCCTTTAGCTTTCTCCAGCCTCTTCTTGATGTCGTCCAAAATAGATTTGTTGGAGGCTTCAGTTTGGCCATTACTCTGAGGATAAGCCAGGGTGGAAAAATATGGTCGAATACCATACTTGCCGCACAGTTCTCGGTAGACACCACAATCAAACTGGGTGTCGTTGTCTGAAATAAGTGCTCTTAAAATGCCGAATCGTGTTATGATATTTCTCCATACAAAACGCTTCACATCAGTATCTTGAATGTGCGTTAGTGCCTCTGCTTCCACCCATTTTGTGAAATAATCTGTTGCGACAATCAAAAATTGCTTGTTGCCTGGGGCGCGAGGTAATGGTCCGACGATGTCAACTCCCCATTAGGCGAACGGCCAAGGACTAGTTATAGAGCTTAACTCCTCAGCAGGCAGATGGGTTAAGGGAGAGAACTTCTGGCACTGTTCACATTTTTTCATATAACATTCGGCATCAGCTCTCATTGTCGGCCAATAATACCCCTGTGTTACAACTCGATGGGCCAAAGAACGACTGCCAGAATGGGCACCACAGCGGCCTTCATGTATTTCAGTCAGGAGTTCCTCGACTTTATCCAGATGAACGCATTATAAGTATGGGCTAGAAAGGGATTTTTTGTAAAGCTTTCCTTGCGGATCCAAGTAGTATCACAGGGCTTTGTTTCGCAGCTTGTGCATTTCTTTCTTATCCGACGGGAGTTGTTCGGAAGATAGGAATGCAGCAATGGAGTCCATCGAACTCAGACCTGACTCTATGACATTGATTTTGACTTCTTCTGAAGGGCCAATGCTCGGCTTAGGGATGAAACCCACTTCAATTGTTCGTTTAATCTCTGAGTAAATTGTGGAGGTTAGGCAAGCCAGGGCGTCTACATGCGGGTTCTGATCACGGGTTATTTGGTTCAATTCATGATGATCAAAATTTTCCAGCAAGGAATTTGTCGTTTTCATATAAGCGGCCATACGGTCGTTTTTGGCCGTGTACTCCCCCTTTAGTTGATTGATCACAAGTTTTGAATTACAAAATATAAGCAAACGCCGAGCACCCAGGAGATGCGCATTCTGTAAACCGGTTAGCAGGGCTTTGTATTCGGCCTCATTGTTCGATGCTTCCAAGCCGAGTTTGACAACCTGCTCAATTATTGCTCCATCGGGAGCCATGATCACTACTCCAGCTCCGCTGCCGCATTGATTGGACGATCCATCACAGTATAACTGCCAAATGTCCCCAACATAAATTCTCCAGTTCGGCTTAGGTTGAATTTGATCTGACTTCAAGTCGGCAAGACCCCCAGTGAATTCGGCCACAATGTCAACAAGAACTTACCCCTTGATTGAGGTTCTAGGCAGGAATTGAATATCGTACTAGCCGAGTTCAAGAGCCCACTTTGAAACGCGCCCTGATGCTTCTGCACTGCGGAGTACTGCCCGGAGGGGGTAGTCCGTTAGTACCCTGATGGTATGCCCTTGAAAGTAATGCAACAGTTTTCTTACTGCCATGACGAGGGCTAGGATGAGTTTTTCCAATGGAAGATAACGTGTTTCGGCGTCAACCATTGCCTTGCTCACATAATACACTGGTCGCTACTCCCCAAGCTCTTCCTTTAACAGAACAGCGTTGATAGCCCGGTCGGAGACGACCAGATATAAAATGAGCAGGTCGCCTGTCGATGGTGTTGTCAATAGTGGAACTGATCGAAGATAGGTCTTCAGACCAGTGAAAGCAGCTTCGCACTCAGAGGTCCATTCAAAAGCTTTACCTTGCCGTAGGGTGTGAAAGAATTATCGGTAGTGGTCCGTGGAACGACTGATGAACCTGTTGAGTGCGGCGGCCATCCCCATTAACTTCTGAACCTCCTTGACCGATCGAGGGGAGCCGAGTTCCAGGATTGCTGTGATTTGCCTCGGGTTGGCTTCGATTCCTCGGTGGTTGACAATGTAACTTAAGAATTTGCCAGAGCCGATCCCAAACGCACATTTGGAAGCGTTCAGCTTCATTCTGTGTTTGCGTGGAATACCGAATGTTTCTTCCAGATCGGCTAGATGAGTTTGCTCTTCTTTGGACTTAACCACCATATCGTCAATGTACACTTCCATAGTACGGCCGAGTTGCTCCTTGAAAATGGTGATGACTAGTCTTTGGTAAGTTGCCCCTGCATTCTTCAGCCCAAAAGGCATAACCTTATAGCAATAGATTCCTCTTGGGGTGAGGAATGCAGTTTTGTCTTGGTCCTCAGGATGCATGGAAATTTGATGGTAGCCTCTATAGGCATCGAGGAAGCTCATATGCTGATGACGTGGGGTAGCATCTACAAGTTGGTCTATTCTGGGGAAGGGAAAACAATCCTTGGGGCAGGCTATGTTTAGGTCCGTGAAATCAACGCAGACTCGCCAAGTCCCATTTTTCTTCTTCACAACCATAGTATTCGAGAGCCATGTAGGGTAGGTCACTTCCCTGATTGCCCCGGTGTCAAGCAACCGGTCAACCTCTTCAACAACGGCGACAGTGTGCTCTGCGGCTGACCGCCGGCTTTTCTAAATAATCAGCTTGTATTTAGGGTCAACGTTCAATCAGTGCTGCGAAAGAGACGGATCCACACCCGCCATTCCACACAATGTCCACGCAAATACATCAAGGTTGCTGAGCAAGAAGGAAATTAGCTGCTACCTGTCGGCTTCATTCACGGAGGCACCAACCATGAAGAACCTCTCTGAATTCCCGTCAATTTCAACTCGATCCAGGTCTTCGATGGCCTTTTCACTCGGGAGCCACCCAACATCATCGAGGCTTTCTCGATCTGACACTTCAATAGAATTCATTTCCAACTCTTTTGGTGTTTTTACAGCAAGGAGATAACACGCTTGTACTGATTTTTAGGAACCACGGATTTGCTCAATTCCGCGTTTTGTCGGGAAGCGAAGCAGTTGATGATAGGTGCTTCGCACGGCCTGCATAGTATGCAACCAAGTTCGCCCCATGATGAGATTATACGGCGAAGGCAGCTGGACGACCAAGAATTCCACATCCACAGTTCAGGAGCCCGCTCGAACTGGATTAGCGTTGAAGCTGAATAATGGATAAATAGCCAGAGACAGGTCTAACTCATTGAACCCAAGTTTGATGAAGGTCTTGTAATACATAACCTCCGAAGTACTCCCCTGGCCTATGATAATGCGTTCAATGGTAAATCGAGTTACGCGTTGTTCAATGACCAATGGATCAATGTGGACGAGTGTTATGCCGATCAAATTAGAATCGTCGAAGGTAATATTCGGAGCTTCATGGGGCCGTTTTGCTGGTGTGATTTGCTTTTAGGGGACTGGATGCGACTGAATTGCATACACGGCTGGGGCTGTTGGCAGGCTGTATATCATATGGATGACGCCAAGCGAAGGTGAATCCTACGAAGGGCAACTGTTTTGGTTGAGTTCTTTCGGACATGTTGCTGGAGCCGACCGTCTTGTACGAACTCCTCAAAGTGGTCTTTCAAAGCATAGCAACTGTCAGTATCATGACCGTGATCTTTGTGATACTCGCACCGCCTATCCCGACTTCTCATGTCGGGAGGTCCCACCATTTTTTATGTCCATTTGAAGAACGGAAGGTGTTGAACCTTGGCCATAACCACACTGATTAGGTCTGATAACTCCGTGTATTTGTTGTCAGCGCGCCTCGCGTGCCTACTATCCACTTGAAGCTACTCTTTAGCTCGGTGTGGACACTGGTTATTTGATCGGCGTGAATCCTGTATTCTATCTCGCTTAGCCCGATTCCGTGATTCAGGGCTCCATGGTGGTACAACGTTTATCGGTTGCACGACTTTTGGCTGGGCCGACTTAGCGGCTTTATGCCCGTCTTTGATTTGGAGGGCATCATCTTCTACTTTGCAGTATTCCTCAACTTTTTTCATCAATGCCCAGACCGTTTTTGGGGGCCGTCTGGTCAAAGAGCTGTGGAGGGCACTGTCTGGATGTAACCCCATTTTGAAGGCGGTGATGGCCATGGAGTCATTGAAAGCATCATCTACCAGATTAAAACATTCACAATACTGCGCCGAATACGCACGAAGGGTTTTCCCCGGTTGAATCTATATTGCCCACAGAGAATCGGCTAGCGTCGGTTGGACCTCATTAGCGATGAACCTTGCCCTGAAGGATTTTTGGAGTTGGTGGAAGCTCTTGATCGAAGCCAACTCCAATTTATAATACCACCTGACAGCCAATGGTCCCAAACTGCTGGGAAATATTCGGCACATGAGGGCCTCGTCGTCTGCATGCAATGTCATGGCTTGCTTGTAATAACGAATGTGATCGGTGGGGTCTGATTTTCCATCGTAGAGAGTGAACGACAGAGCTTTGAACTTTTTGGGCAGTACTGCCTTTGCGATCCGTCGCACAAAGGGGTCATATTGATCCTCTTCATCTGAGTCATCTCGTCTTCGTTTAGTCCTTGCACGGGGGCTTCCCTCGGAAGAACTGGAGACTGCTACCCGTCTCTTCCTTTTGGAATCTGGGGATGACGAGTCAGAATCACTGCTACTGTCTTCTTTCTGAATTCGGGATTGTTGACCATCCTTTCTTAGAGGTCGTCCCGGGTCTTGGCGCGAAGCTTGTCTGGATTTTGCCACCTCCAAGGCCAAATCCTGTCGAAGGCGCTCGTTCTTAGCCAACATATTTTCCAACTGCTGTTCATTTTGCTTTGCTTGCTCCATAATCACTTGCATTGCCTCATGTGCTGATGTCGAGGGTGAATCGAAGTTCAAGGCCCTTCTTGCGGTAATATTCTCTGGCCCAAGCATATTGCTTGGAGTGGTTTCATCTTGCGGCGTAGGGTCTCCAGCAACTACCGGAGGATCTTCCGTTATGCCCGCCATGGATGTGCTTGAGTATTCCCACAGACGACGTCAATTGTGAGGTTACGGTTCTGGAAATACTCTTTGGATCCAATAGGGCACTTGAGATCCTCAGTTGGTAACCTGAGAAAGAATGAACATTCCGGTCGGGGGTGCCAGAATTAGCACTCTGACGGATAAGTCAGTATATACTCTCTCGATTGCTTGTATTTTAAGTTAAGCGTACTAGTTCTCACATACCTCTCTCTGGATGATGTTCTTCTATTTATATGTTTTCTCCCTTGTGCCTCGGGGCTGGCCCCACCTTCAATTCGCCGCATAACTATTTACTCGGCTTCTTTGGTTGCAAACTGCTCTTCACTCGGCCCCTTATTCAACAGGTTAATTGGCCGAATAGGGTAGGATTTGTATGTATAAGACGGGGCCGAATGTGATGTATATATTTCAACTCTCCATGTCCAATTATTCGGCCTCTTTACGTCTCCTGATATTCGGCCCCCACAGTTCTCATATCTTCTAAGTCATTTTTTCGAGCATGAAATGAGCACTGGACTGAGCATAGTTGGGATTGTATATTTTTTATCGCTCTCCTATTCCCTCATGATCTCTCTTCTCTTCTCTTCTGTAGCTAGAATTAATACATAGGAATTTTTTTTGCTATATATATGTCATTGTGTTGGGTTGATTCTCCTATGTGGGTCTAGAATGAATACATAGGAATTTTTTTAGTTTGGGATCACCACCGTCTAGTGATATCAGGTCTGTCAGATCCTCTCCTATATATTGATTTCTTATCTATGTATACACACTATATATATATGTACATATGTAATAGATGATAGTCTGTAAATGTTATATGATATTAAGGACTGATTGAAAAAATTCCCAACTTAAAAAAAAAAAAAAAAAAACTGTGTTGGCACAATGAGGTTACTTTAAGAGCTCCACTCTTCCATCCTTGTTTTCTGCATATTTCTATTTGGTGTTTTATGTGCTAGAAAGATTGGATGGGGATGGAGTCAGAGAGGTGACAGGGGTGTTGATTGGGTTGGGGTTTTTTAGTTTTGATTTTTAGCAAATAGTGTGAAAAGTGATTACGTTGTGACATTCTCTAGCAATGGTTTTAGATACTAGTTTTTTTTACCGATATTGAAATTTTGTTCTCTCAGAAAAATGAAATGTCTTTATCTTCTTTTTTGTGAATATTATATATAGGAATTTTTTTTCTAACTTTTGGTGCCATATGGGAAAAAAATAGCTTGCAGATAAACCAGTCCCTAATGCAACCTTACAAGTTACAAGTGTTGTTGGCTGGCATAGAGAGGGTCTTGTTTATAAAAAGAATGAGGTAATTTCATTTTTCTCTCCAATCTCCTTTCTGGATATTGTGGAAAGTGCCAATCTTCTTATGTCGTCAAAAGGTGTGAAAGGTTATATTTTGGGATTTTGGTTGATGTGCTCCTACTTTGGTCACTCATACACATTTGGTAATTATAGGTAGTGTTTTGCGTTGTGATGTGACTGGGAAAATTTTGATGAAGTGCTTTCTTTCTGGAATGCTTGATTTGAAGTTGGGTTTAAATGATAAAATTGGCCTTGAGAAAGAGTTGCAAATTGAATCATGTCCTACTAAGAGGCAACTTCTAAAGGCATCCTTTTTGCGTACTGCCCTTCCATATTCATTTGTCTGTACACTTATTTTGGAATTTAAGTAAACTCATGCTTCCTTCTTGTCATCCTGTAATATGTCATTTTATTTCTGAGTTTTATTATAAATGATTCTGGTTCGAGTTCCTTATTTAGGTATGTTGTGAATCCATGTTCCCAAAGTTGTTCCCATATATTCTTCGAATGCTTTGTTAAATGTATTGAGGGGTCTAATTCATAATTTACAAATGTTCGAAGTAAAATTAAATTGCCAATTGGGTTTGTTAGTAATATAAATATATATATATATATATATATTTTTAATTTGTTTGAGAAATTGTCTTCTATCACCTCCAAGGAAAGAATGGTTTTGAACTTTTTAGTTCATATGTTGGATGATAATGCTTCAATTATTTTTAATTTTTTTGAATTTGCAGCTTTATAGAAATCCAGAAATTGATTCTTTTATTGTAGCTATTTCGGTGTTGTATTGAGCATTGCATCTTGTTTTCCCATGTTGATTAAGTGGTTGGCTGAGCATGCAATTTTAATTTCTATCTCTGCTCGATGGATTCCTTATGCCTTTTCTATAACCTAATCTTTGTCCATGTTACCTTGTGCAGTGGGAAAACTATAGAGCTCGATGATGTTACTTTCCATCAATGTGTAAATCTGACAAGGTTTAACTCAAAAAAGACTATTAGTTTTGTGCCACCAGATAGTGAATTCGAATTTATGAAGTAAGCTTATACTCTCCTTTTCAATTATGAACTATTTTGGTTATTATTATTCAATTTAATGTATTGTAAAAATAAAAATAAAAATACAGAACCTGTGTGACCTTGGGTATAACCTAGGCCACCCATGAACATGACGTAGATTTTGTAAGTGAATTTAGATTTTCAATAGTTGACGTTGTGTTGAACTTCATTTACTTTTACTCTCATATACACACATCAAAAGAAGGAAATAAAGCTAATGTGTTTCTTGTCTGTCGAATTGTTTTTTGAAGTGTATTCAAATCTCTTTATACAATATTTGGTGTATTTTTTTTCTCTTTAAAATTGTGATATGTTTTCTCTTCTATTGGTGCAATTAGGTGAGCCTTTTGGTATTGGAAAGATTGTTTTTGTTCTATTGAGGTAAGAAACGTCTTCTGTTCCTTTCTTATACGTTGGTTTCTTTTATTTTTTCTAGATATATATTTTTCCTTTTTCTTACAAAAATTATGTATTGTTTTTCTTCCTTTCCTTGTCCTTGACAGGGTTGTTTGATTGTATGCCTTTGACGGAAGTCACAACATGTATTTGTTGTTGTTGTTGTCTTTTTTTGTTTTTGTTTTTGTTTTTGTTTCTCAAATTATTTATTGTAGAGTTCCACTAATTTTAGAACCAAATCAGAAACTAATAGAACTCAAGCCATAGTTAAAATATGGCACCCAGTCCTTAGTTTCAATAATTATTTACACTGGAGACTTAGTTTCAATATAAAAAAAAAAATTTCCTTTGTAAATCCATTAGATTCTTATAAAATTGTGATTTCTGAAATGGGTTTGATGGGTTTTGATTTCCAAAATTTGAAATGGGTTTGAATCTTTAATTTGTTCCTCGCTCCTCTTTCTTTGTTGATTTCATTGTTTTTACCAGTTACCAAACAAAAATTTCCGACTCTAGAGCAAGAACTGAACTACTTGACATGATTTTCACCAAGGTAATCTCTTTTTCCTTCTCTTTCTACTCTATTTTGTTACCCAAAAAAGGTGCAAAATAAAAACATTTGATTTTTGGTATTATGGGTTTTTAATTCTTGAAACTTTAAAAAATGAAAACCTCTTCTGGGTTTAGGGGAGAAAACCCACCAAAGAAAGACGAGTTTCTGTTATTTTGAAATGATACTCTTATGACCCTAATTGTTCTTTTCGTTTTGTGAAGTAGTTTCTTCAATTATTGCATTACGTTGGAGTTTCTGTTATGTTTACTTCTTTTGCTTCTACTACAAATGTTTTTGGTTTTGTATCCACTCGTGTTTGCATTTTATTGGACAATTCTGCATGACCTACAATGTTCTTGTCTTATAATTTCTATCTTACAAAGCTTTTAATTGACTTAATTTTTTGAGCTTTACACCAAACACGTAAGCAGTAGATAATTTCATTATTCAAAGCCACTTGCATGCTTGTGTTCCTATGGCCTTTTTTGCTTAAGACCATTTAAATGTGTTGCTGTATGGAAATAATGTTCCTTCTTTTTTTTTCTTTTTTTTTTTTTGGCAAGTAAATAACAATGTCCGTTCTGTGAATAGGCAATCATAGCTTCGATGGCTAACACCTAATAGCGTGGTTTTGGGCCTGATTTCAACTAATGTAGCTGTTTTTATGTTATGGCGGGATTGTAGATCAACAATTTATATTGAAGAACTTTACAATGAGTTGTATAAAATGTTGTCAGTTTTTTCTGATTCATACTATCATACAAAATCTTTTTAAGCTTGTAATGTGTTCATGTTTTTTTCATAATATATTGTTGTTCTCTAAGCAAATTTCACTAGAGAATTTTAAAAGAAGACGCATTCACACGATGATAACATTTACATTCAGTCATATCGATATTGGGCACCTTGTCTCTAACATGATTGGACTTTACTTCTTTGGGGTGAATGTATGCATACATGTCTCTTAATTTTCTTTTTGTTCAAATTATAAATAAAAAAAAAAGAAAAAAAAAAGAACATTTACTTACCAGTGTTCATGATTATAGTTTGATTTCACTTGGAAAATTGGTAGTAGATTTTGCATAGGAGGGGAAAGGGATTGAGTTTTTCATCATTTCATCTAATCTAGGAACCTAGTATGTGTGCACTCATGTGCCTTCCTGTTTCATCGTGATTAAATGAATTAAAAATTCCATTACTTGTGATACTAGTCTTGGTGGTCAACATGGTATTTGGTATGTGTTGGTTTACAACTACAAAATTAAGATTGTCCTTGTTGAATAAGCAAATGTGGATTTACATATGTTGATGGAGTCGTTCTCAATCATTTTTTTGGTCTTGTTGGTAATTAGAGTCCATGAGGAGTTTTTTTCTCCAGGAGAAGTGATAATGGAATAGCGAAATGTGGTAGATCAATTTTATTTTGTTTGTCATGGTATGCTGGTGTGATACTATCTTGTATTGACTTTTGTTTATTAATATTTATTTGATTATCGTGAGTTAGTGTCTTTTTATTCATTCTTTATCTTCTTCTTTTGTTTCTTTTAGATATATACTTTTCAGTTCCTTATTCTTATGTATGGTATATTAATTTATTTTTTGATTTACGGTTGTCTGTCCTGATGTCACCATAAATTAGTTGTTTATTTAAACAAAAATACATAGACAGAACTCTATTTAATTTTTCTTCAGTCTAGTTGTCTTCAAAATATAGTCCTGTTATTGGTGGACATCAGTACTATTCATCAGCTCCTGTGGTTTGGAGTGTGAGGTTAATCCTGATTAATCTAAATAATAACACTCCCAAAATGAAACATTTAACTACTACTTAACACCAATTGGGTCTTTGCTCATCTTTCTTCTCTTTCTCATTACACCTACTTGAAGAACAAACATTAAAAAAGGGGCTCAGGGATCTTCATGGTTGAAAATTTTTGTTTATTGTAGACAGGGTTGCGAAATAAATGCCTATCTTGAACCTACCTGCTTGCCATTGCCATTTACATTTCTAGTGTTAGAAATTGGGCACCCATGTGGCATGACCCTTAGAACCTTTTGAACCTCATCCAAATGGGTTTTTGAATTTGAATTCAAACCTATTTGGATGAGCCACTCAGGATATATATTTATCATATCATGATATGGATAGATGATATAGATATCAGATATTATCTCATTTAACCAATGGATAAATGAGATAAATATATTTTATATCTGATATATGGTTATGGGTAACCAAGAGAGAAAACAACGTTGAGTCTGTTTTCTACCCATATACTGACTCTCTCCCAAGAAACAACGATCAAAGCCATTTTGCACTGTGGTTTGTGTGGGTGATATTCACCATTGTAATATCACCCCACTGCTGGGATTGATTGATCTGATTCTGGAAGCACGTGATTTATCCACGAGGTTCTATCATCAAAAGGTATGATCTGATGATTTTATTCCGCTGCATATTCTGTGTTTTTTTTTCTGTTTACACCATAATTTGGGAAAATGAAAAACCATTTATATTGGCAAAAAACAAAAGGATGAGTAAGTAAATCTATTTCATCTAAACAATGTAACCACCTTGTCCTCCCTCTCCACCACTTCATTTTTCAAGTAAGTTGCATCAGACATGGATCATGAGACATGAAGCCGGAGAATCAATGTGGAGAGAATTGTACAATCGATCCAACTGAAGGAATCATGTTATCGAACTATTCTTCTGTTTCCTGTAGCCAGCCGAACTGTAGAAAACTGATGATCAGTGCACTGTTAAAATATCAAACAGGGTACTAAATTAATCATTAATCGGGAAGCAACACTTACTTTCCATGCATACATCCCAAAAAAGGCCACGATATCTGCAGACCAAACAGCTGCAAATGACTTCCAGAAGAATGGGATTATGACATTTAGCAATGGGATGAGGAGGAATAGATAGTTGAGGGCTTCTTTCTCGTTCTTTGTGCAATCTCGGGCTCGAAGGGAAGGAATCGCTGTAAAGAATAAAAATCAGTTCACTCGATACAGAAACTACAAAATTGAGCTTCTTTGTCAATTCACATTCTAGACTTGCTACAAATCATTGTGCAGTTGTTAATAAACAAATGGGAACATTGCCCACCACAAGAACAGGAAGGAAATGGCTAATTCTTGTTTTTTTTGCATCACTTTTAACACAAATTCTTACAAAAAAATGGACACTAACAATATAATTAAAATAGACTGAAAGAAGAAACTATACGAGTACTTGAAAACTAACATTTGCAATAAATATGTCCAATTTACAACCAAACCCATGATTCATAATAATGGAAACTTACTGAACATCCAGACAGACCACATCCCCATTAGCCTCCAAATGTCTGGTTCATTTGATGGGAATATGAGATTGAAAGAGAGAGCTCCACCAAGTAACATTGACACATAACCTTGGACCTCAAAAACAGTGTATAAAGCAGTTCCAGGCACAGCGGGGTTTTTGGTAGCAGTGGAAGCCCTTGGAGCAAAAGTTGCAGCTGTCTTTTGGACGACCTGTAGGCAGTAAAGCTTTATAACTAACTTATTTTTTGATAAGTAGAGATTACTAACTATATTATGGAGAAAATAATCATGCATTTCTTGAAGAAACAAAAATAATGGTTTAGGGATGAAGAACAGAATGAATTCCTGTACCACGAATGCAAACCGGGTAACTTAAGCAGTATTCTGAATTCTCTTGAAAAAGCTGTGAAACCAATGGCACTCAATTTCCAAGTAGTAGAGTGACTTGCTAGAATAGGAAAGTTCAAAAGCCAAGTTACTCAGAACGGGAAAATCACATGCACATTGCTGCTTTAGTGACCATGACACATTGTATAAGGCCATTCCACTGGCTTCTTACCAATCACTTGTCAAGGAACCCCGGAGCTGTAGAACAAGAAGTTCAAAGATTCTAGGGCCACATTACCATCACATTCAGTGGTAAAAGCATTCCAAAGAAGTCCTAATTCTCTACTAGTCTTTAATTATTAGATTCTCACACACTTGATTCACACTTGTCATTCTCAAATTTTTTTCTCATTTAACCTATCTATATCTGAATTTAAAATAAAAATAAATAAATAAATAAAAACCCATCTCTAATCCAATTTTAGTATTCGCATGTCTTTCTACCACTGAATCCAATGACTTGCTGCATTCTACAACATAACAATAACCTCCTGCCAAGAGAATAAGTACCAGTTCCTTTTCAAGAATCCACCCTTACAAATCCATCAAAAGACACCAAAAACTGAACCCATTTAGCTGAAGGAATTTGATTCTATGAACAACAATGACCTAATACTGATCTCCGCATAAACAGTGAAAACGAAACCCTTTTGGGTATGATAACTTATCCTAAACCAACATATCCCAACCAAGATTTCCTGTAAATGATGAAATGAAAGTGATCTTCTTGACTTATTTTAAGGCACCCCCTCCATTGTTAGTCTTGACGCAAATAAATTCATATTGTGCTTGTAAACTATCCCTTTTGGTCCATCTGACAGCTTGCTCAGAAAATTGAGACAATAAAAACAAATTAAAGCCTCCAATGTTAGGTTCTTCCTAATTGAGACCCAAGAAACCAAAAAAAAATTGTCTTTAAACTGTGTAGTTACTACAACTGAGCCTAGCTGTTTCATTATTAAGGATGGGCCAAACAACATAGCAAAAAAGGGTTATTCAGAAATTTTTTGTTTCTTTTCCTTTACTCTCTTTCCCGGAAACCAAACAACAAAGGAAAAAGAAAAAAGAACATACGATTAAAGAAATCGAGTAATTATAAATCAATTAGAACCTTTTTGAGGTCTTTGTCGACGTCAGGAACAATTGATGCTTTTGAAGTTGAAATCTTGCTTGCCTTTTTAGTTTCTTGGGCTTCTTCTTCTTCAATCTTGTTCACTCCATTGGGTTTTTCTAGCTCTTGTTCGGGTTGTTCTTCGAATGGCTTCGTTTCTATTACGTCGTTTGAATTTGCACGAAGTATGAAAGGTTTGTAGCGAAACTGAGTATGAAATGAGCATTTCTGGAGAATTGAAGAAGTTGGGGGAAGCTTCAAGACGCAGAAATTGCAGAGAGAAGCTGAGATTGACATGTTCATGTTCTTTTTTTTAGCACTATTTCAAGTCCAGTCCAGTCTCATTGGAGATTCAACACAGAGAGAGAGAGAGAGAACAGTAGACACAGATAAGGAACGCAAACAAAGCCACAGGGCATGGTTCGAGTCGTTCGACGCATTTGGTTAAACGTTGAATGTTTATTTACTTTCAATTTTCACTTTTTTTTTTTTTTTTTTTATTTGATTAATTTCCCCTTTTTTAGATTAGATTTTTTTTTAAGAAAATTAGTCTAGGGTCTCTCTCTCACTTTTTGTAATGAAAGACATTCACAAAATTATTTTTTGATCTCTAAGGTCCCTAAATATATATCAGAGAAATTTGACTCTTTGTCTCTCTTCCTCTACTGCAAAGCAGCACTTCCTCTCTCTCTCTCTCCGAAACCCTAGAGAGAAGAGATGGGCAAAGCAGCACGAGGAGTTGAGGCTGTAGAGTTGGATAGGCTCGTATTCAGAATCGAAAGCATATCGAAGACTCGGATTGATTCTATCAAGAAAACGAACGAGGTTCTCATCCTGATAGCATGTGCTGACCGTGGTTTCAAGTTTCAGGACATTTACAGCAATTTTCTTTGCAGCAAGAATTTTGATCCTAGCCTCTCTTAAGGCACTTAAAGCCACCTTAAAACTATACTATGATGCCATCCCTTCATCCACACAGTTAATGTATCTACATGTATTACTTTTCTTCATGGGCACAACTTTGTACGTTTGACATTCCCGGCCTTTCTATAATCTATCTATCTTGTTTTCATCTCTCTCTTCTCATGGGTATAGCAAGGCAAATGGGATTTGCAGACAGAAGAGCATGTCCACATCTCTGCAAGTTAGCTTCTGAATACATCAGGAAATTTGAAGATTGTGAAGACAACATATATTCGTTCTTTGCAGATGATCCAGATATGGATTCCTGAATTTTCTCTAGGTTAAAGAGAATTTCTCTGGAAATGTTTCTTTAGGAATTTCATTGATTTAGAAAGAATTTCTTTGGCCTAAAGTGATCCAGAGAAATTCTTTATTCATTTTCTCTGGAAAAAAATTTTATCCAGAGAAATTTTGGACCAGAAAAATTTGAATTTTCTCTGGGTTGAACCCAGAGAAATTCATAGCATTAAGTTTAAAGAAAATCTATCACAAACTCATAGAAGAACTATTAAACATGGGAATTGTTTATATATATTATGTATATTTTCATAGATTTCACACTCACATATACTTGTACCCATGTGGGTATGTTTAATTTCATTCCTTCAGTGGTTGTGCTTCTTAGTCTGCAAATCCCACTGATGTTATTGCTTATTTTTTTTTTTTTTGGTAATTAGCTGGTTGTTGTATGCACTTTGGTAATTAGCTCGATGTTGTATGCACTTTCTGTCCTCCATCAACCACTTCTCCACTATCTCTTCCCCCAACGAGTGCAACCCCTTCTTTTCCAACTTTCTCTGGATTTCCAGCAAGAGCGAAGGTTGCTTGAAAAAAGGGTTGCTACGTTGTCTAGAGAAAATTTCTCTGGACCAATTTTCTCTGTGACGTGAATTTTTTCTAGATCAACTTGAGGGACCTTAGACATTATTAAAATATTGAATGTCCTTTATACTATAAAATCTTAATATTAGAGACCTTAAAAAAATCCCCCTATAAAAAATTGTCCTTTTAAAAGTATCTAGATTAAGTAAATCTAAAAATTAAAAAAAAAAAGCATCATTAAAAATAAATAAAAAATACGAACTTAAAATTTATATAAAACTATTTTTAAAGATTCCAAATTAAATGGTTAATTAGAAAAGCAACTAGATTAGATTATAACAAAAAGTACGGGATTCAATCCCTCTAACATCCTCATATCAAAGTTTTGGACAAACATAGTGGCCTTTCACAGCACCTAAATTACGTTGTGTGAATGTATTTTTCATGATTTAGAGTTGTTTCTTATCTATAAAAACAGAGGTAATTCAACTATTAGGCTACCTAATCTATCACCTAAGGTTTCTAATTTTTTTTTTTTGTTAATTGTTATTATTGAAAGTCTCAATTTTTTCAGACTTGATAAAATAAAATCACATTTTAATATTTAAGAACTCACAAAATTTTAAGCTTAAGCTGCTACTATATATAAATTATGCGAATAAATCAATAAGACATTTGGATCTGTGGACGTAGGCATGATGTACTAAACCATGTAAACATGTTCTTTTATTTCTAAATCAATTTCTTATTTATTTCATTTTCTTTACAAAACTCAACATAATTTCTTCTTAACATAATTTGCTAAAGAGAGAGTATTTGAGGTCATAACTCCACTCTACCCTACCTCGGCGAGGACACCATTCCATTTGGAGGTTTTAATTTGGACTGGAGACTGATTTTGGACCACCTAACATATGTCCATTTGGAGGCCCATTATAACTTTTTATTTCTTATTTTGTATAGGACAATGGACATCTTTTTATATCTTCTCAAAATGAAAGCAATTACCAAAACAAATTTTGGTGGAGAGAGAGAGTGGGTGTTGGACTTGTTGAATATGTGATATAACCTTATTATTAATCACTAAGAGTGAATCTTAAGGGTTGGTTTAGTGGGCACAATTGGTTTGGTCTCATCAAATTTCAAGTTTAATACTCACTAATTGTAATAAGTTTCTTAAGGTCAGTATCGCGTAAATTGATTTGGATACCCAGTTATTAATAATTAAAAATATATATATATCACTAAGAGTGAAGAAATTTATGAACTTAGACTTTAGATCTTCATTTTGTAGCCACACACAGAAAAAAACAAGCCTTTATGATTTTGATTTTGATTTGTCATAAGAAGCGTAACTAAAAAATATACTATCTTTTAGTCCACAATTGCCAACCATATTTCTAAGGTGAGTAATGTTGCTCAAAATTTAGAATGAAAACGACTAATTTGGTCGGCCATCATTAATCCTTTTGTAGGGTTCACAAAATTAAGGTCAATCATAACTCATTATATGGATGAGAAAATTGTACAATAGTTTTGGAGTATCACGTAATTATATTTTCTTATCAATCTTTATTTATTATTTCACATATTCTTCAATCACTTAACATAAATAATCAATACTCAATTTTTTGTACTAATCATAATATCATTGAGTATTATGTGACCATATTTCTAAACTAGCAAATAACAAAACTAAGATTAGAAATAACTAATCATGTGTTTGTTTTTTAGCATAATTTCTTACAAGCAGGCCCGATTTTGGGGTAAGCCCACAAAGTAGCCGCTTTGAGGCCTCAAAAAAACGCTGAAAATAGCATCCCAAAAAATGTATAGTCTAATACTTGTGTTTTTAAAAAAGGCCTAATTCAAAATTATAATTCAAAATCGTAAATGAATAAAAGGCTCAATCTAAACTAAAAAAAAAGGCCCAATTTCAAATATAAATTCATAAAAAAAGGCCCACTTCAAATACAAAGCCCAAATTAAAAAGGTCCAAAAAACTTGAGGCCTATTCTAAATTCGTTTAAAACTTGGGGAACTTACTGATAAGTCCCATGTACCAAGTTCAAAACCCAGCTAATCCCAAAACAAAATACTTGCACCAATTAGTCCAATACATTTTTAATTGTTACTAAAAAA